GGCACCTTTGTGGTCTGTTGCATTTATGTCACCAACTAGTCTTTCACCATCTATAGTACTATGCACCGCAGCACAGCTCTGACTAGCTGGGTTTGTTATCTCTACCACCCCCTGTTGGTTATCAGTAATGACCATGCCTGGTTCTTCATCCTTGTTTAGGAACAGAGTTTTAGGAGATTGCAGTTCTGGAGTGGTCATTTGTGTTAAGTTGTTATGTGGAATGTCTACACAGGTTTCTAACCAGTCAGATAGACTTTGGAGAGACTCAATGGCAAGGCTGGTTGATGGCATAAATGCTTCTTTTGATGTCTCTGTGTCTGCTAGTTTTTTGTTGGTTTTGACTAATGGTTCATTATTCTCTGAACACTCTAGACTGCATGCTGATCCTTGATTATGGATTATGCCCATAAGCAGGGATAATGAACCAGGACTGCTAGAGTCAAGTTGTTCCTCCTTCGATAACGGCGATTCCACGACTGATTCAGATGGGTGTACATCAGCCTCCCCCTTGAATGTCTCTTGTAAACATGAGTCAATTAGCTCATTTAAATGAGGAGGCAGCAGAGAAATGCTACATTCTTGACTGCAGTCAGAAATGCACATGATTTCCGATGGTATATTTTGGTGAACATCAACAGCTGGCTGTTTGTCAATGTGTTCATCTTCATTCTCTTTACACGAGGGGCCATCTGCATCATTTCTCATTTCAGAATCAATAGAAGGAAGGTTTATATCAAAGTTGAGCAAGTACTCCAAAAAATCCTTCTCTGCTTGATCGTTATGCTTTTTTCTTTTGATTTTCTTCATAGCCATGGCTGAGTGTCCATCTACCTCACTATCATTCTCGTAATTGTCTTGGTTTTCTTCTGATGCCCTCTTTTCTGCTGATGTGGCTTTAGCAGAGCCAACTCTCCATGAATCTCCACTTGTGCTCTGACTTGGCTTCTCCTTATCAGTAATCTAAAGGGCCATGAAATAAAAATGCAGAGGAGTTTATATTACAATGCAAAATTCATAGCGCAGACACCAAGAGTTTGGTTTAAAAGATGCCACTCACTGTATAGTTGTGTTCACAGAGAAATTGTGAGCTTGTCTCTTCAGGCAATGAACTGGCAGTATTCATCAGGGTTTCACCAGGCTCCACTAAAAGTCATAAATAGAAACAAATAAAGATAGATTGAAGGCCAAAGGCAACCCCCCTCATCCTACTAACAAAATCAATACTTTTATGACCACTCGGTTAGATTACTGTAATGCACTATATATAGGGAGTACTGTAGCTGGTCAGCTATTGGCCATTTGCAAATGGTGCAAAATGCTGCAGTACACCTGTTAACCGATCCTCGCAAATATGACCACATTTCCTCTTGTGTTAGCTTCACTTCATTGCTTGCCAGTTCATTTTAGAATACAGTTTGAGATTCTTTTATTTGTTTGTAAATCTCTAAATGGTCTTGCCCCACCTTATATCTCTGAGCTGTAAAGTTGTAACAGATCACTGTTAATCTGTGATGCGTACGGATCACAACCCAGTTTGGAACGCACGTGACCCACAGATTAAAATATATTTTTTAAATTCATACGTTAATGCAACATTTATAACAAATGCAGAGAGATCACCACTTGCGTCAATAAAAATCACATGTATGAAATCATTTTTGCTTCCTTGTAAAATATAAAGATGACGGAAAATGTGGTGGTGGGACCTACCTAAATACTTTCTTAGGCTATTAATTAAAGGTGTTTCCTGTCACTGTTTGTTTAGCCTGCATTAATGCATTCATTGTAAAGCTGCACAATTAAACATTGAAAGATCGTGATCTCAATTCAAACCCACGCAACATGACTGATAAATGATTTGCATGTTTATTAATCCTTCGAAGCGCTGGATTCAAATGTGCGTTTGATCAAGAGACATTTAGTTTTTACTTTTTCAGTTAGTTACAAACAAATAACAGAAGTACTGGGATAATTGTTTATAGTTCAGATATAAACACTGATGTTTATGGTAAGGATTAAAATGACAGGGATTAAATGGGATTTGATGCTGGTGATTGTATAAATTACATTGTGTAACCAATGGGTGGCCACAAACTACCATCAAAATTATGTCACTGAATAAGTTTTCAGAAATGATCCAACTATGAAACATGAAGTTTTATGTATGAATTGGTGAATTATCAATTGAAAATTACTATGTTGTACAATATTTCTATATTTATCATTATCAGCAACAGTGGCAAAGATGATTTTTCGTATTGAATATTTTCCTTTTTTTCAGCTGGTTCTTTCTTGATTTTTATTAAAACTACAGGTTCTTAGCCACATTAGTCAAAACCAATAGTTTTTGCAGTAATATCTTTTGTTTAAATGGAAAGCAAATGACATTTGTCTCCTCCCTTTTTTTCTGATTAGAAAAATGGTCCGATCCGTGACTCTAAAACCGTAGTGTGATCCGAACTGTAAGATTTGTGATCCGTTGAACCACTAACCACTATTGAGCTGATACACCCCTATTAGCTGACTCATTCTTTCAGGTCAGCTGATCAGCTTCTCCTGATTGTGCCAAAAAAACACATAAGTTAGAGGTGCCTGTGCTTTCGCTGTGGTACTGTAGGTCCTAGACCAGAGGTGGCCAACCCTGTTCCTGGAGAGCCACCTTCCTGTAGACTTCAGTTGCAACACATATGAAACACACCTGCCTGTAATTATCACGTGGTGTTCAGGTCCTAATTAATTGGTTCAGGTGTGTTTGATATGGGTAGCAACTGAAATCTGCAAGAAGGTGCTCTCCAGGAACAGGGTTGGCCACCCGTCCTAGACTTTAGACTGATTTGGCACTCCCCAGTAGACAGGCCTCTTCCGTGTTCTCATTTAAATCAGCTCTTAAAACTCTGTTTTTGCATTGGCATTTGACACTGATCTTAATATCTGGTTATTTAACATTTTTTTGTGCATTTTTAGATAGTTTGGCTATAGAGGTCTGCATTCCCGCGGCTGTCCCGCGGGCACCGCGGGACCCGACCAGATTTCTACGGCGCGGGTATAAATTTCCGAATAAATCACGGGAGCGGTCGGTAACAGGTTTAATTTGGGACAGGAGCAGGCTGTCTAGCAATATCGCTCCCGACTCCCGAGTGAGCACGCGTATGTATGTGTGTAAATGAAATAGCACGATGCTGTGTTTAGCTTGTTTGTTGCAGTGTGTGTGTGTATGTATGCGCACGCGCGAATGAGAGATGTGTGTGTGTGTGAGTGTGTGCGTGCGCGCGAATGAGAGATAGAGAGCTTTGCCTCATTGCCTGTGTTTGTGCTTGGTGCTTATGAGTGTGTGTTAGAGGGCGCGCGCGCGAATGAGAGAGAAAGCTTTGTCTGTGTGTGTGTGCTTGGTGCTGTGCGTGTGTGTGTTTATACAGACAGCTTGTTATAGGCTGTCTGGACTGTATAACTGGGTGATTTTTCGGTTTTGTTCTCCCCCCGCTCTTTAGCGGGATCGGGCGCGGCGGATAGAAAACGGGACGGGTCGGGCAGCGGGACATCAAGTGCTTAATATAAGCGGGAGCGGTCAGGTTCCAGCTAAAACCTGGCGGGTGCGGGCGGGATTCAAAATTTAGTCCCGCGCAGATCTCTATTTGGCTATATTTTATCTTGTATTTTATACACTATTATACTTATTTTGTTGTACGATTGTTGTACAGCACTTTGGCTCACTTTTGTGTTTCTAAAGTGGTCTACAAATAAATCTTGACTTCCGAGCAGGCACACAACACCATAAGACGTAAATATTAGGTTCGATTTAGGTCATGATGTCAATTGACCAAAATTTAATGTCTAGCCAGCGTCTAAGTGCATCGTTATTTTGACATTCGAAACGACATTAAATTACGTTATTTGGTTGATTTTAGGTTGTGTTGAAAAGTAACCAAAATCCAATGTCGGATAGATGTCATAGTGGTAACCACACAACTTCAAGGTGTAACATGATTAGATGTTGATATTTGGCTGATTTTAGGTTGGACGTTGACGTAATGTTGGGTTCTGACGTTAACCCGATTTTCATTTCCAAACAAAATCCAACATCCTCACGATGTTGGGGTCAATTGGGGTTACAACATCAATAAGACGTCATGTTGACGTCCTGTGCCTGCAGAGTAGGGTTGGGCCGAAAGACTATGTCATCGTCCATCACCGATGGGCAATAGACAACACGATGCTGAGCAGGCATCCCCGATCCTCTGCCCCGTCCCACTCGCAAACCCGCTTGTGAAAAACACACATTTAGGCCCCGTTTACACTAATAAAATGCCATTTTAGAGTGAAAATGATCCACATCCACACCGTGTTTTACCTAGCATTTCTGAACAGCCCTCCGTCCGCTGAAAACGCACATCACGTGACCACAAACACACACTGTCATCTGCTCGTTTGAGTAAGCTCCAGAGAGCAGTGCATGTCGGACAGTTTATCAGCGATTTACCGCTGGATCTCGTCTCACTATAGTTGTTAAATGTGATATTTAATTAATCTTGTCTCTATCTAACGACTTCGCTCTTTTGAATCTATCAGGTAACGTGTCACAGCATCAGTACACTGCTTCAGTCTTATACTTTCATGCTTATACTTGGTAATTTTAGTGAAAACCTATTTTACCGACCAACCTCCAGCGGTAAAAGTGATTGACAGTTGGTCATTTGTGTGCAACTTGTCTTTATTTATTTATAATTTGTTTATGGGCAAAACAAAGACCATGCAGGTCAGGTAGTTGAAAGGGTAGGCTACAAATAATTAATTTGTTATGAATTAATAATTCATAAATAATGAATTTACCTCCGCCTATGATGACGATGCCATCGTCCATCGTGATGTTTCACATTAGACATCGTACAATGCCAAATTGGTCGACAACGCCCAACACTACTGCAGGCTTGACTTGACTTGAAAATAACACTTGAACAATGTGGTTTTTGTGTTTAGACAACAATTTTCATGAGACAATTGTGTGATCTAATGTCTTTATTCTGGAAAATCAAAACAAACATTTTAATTTAATAATTTGCCAACAAAGAAAACCCCAGTAAATGTGTTATTATCCATTTTAAATGGCATACTTGTATAACTGTTTACACTTTATATAACTTTTATACATCACATAACAAATTACAAAACAAATGCAATAATTCAATCAGTGTCTGAACTTTGGTTGCACATTTACTTTATATTTATTACTGTAGCTGCGCACTTAATGTGCAAAAAACATTTTGAACATTTAACAGATGTCAGACGCATTTCTTAACTGACTGCTGAAGGTGATGATGTCACTTCCATCAAAACAATTACATAAAAGAACAAATAATGAGACAAAATATGTAATAAGAGAACTGACTTACAGAAAATAATCCAACATTTAAAATAAAATTTTAGCTTGAAGAACTTATCCGATATTAGTAGCAGAGAAATCTTGAGTGGCATATAGAGTCCAGTGTTGTGGTGATGATGAACGATCTTCAATATAATCCATTGTAAGTTCGCTGTCCGGGCAGCTTGAGGTGTCTGATCCCTCACTCTCCTGATCCTGTAGCAGTAAGGAACCTTGACTACAAAAGTCCTGTTCTTGGTTTCTCACAAAAAGTTCATTGGTGCTGGTCTGAGCTGATGGTTCCACTGCAAAATGAAAACAGATAATAATCACATTTGAGTGGAGCCTCACAATCTAACTCACACCTTATTATAAGCATAAACCAATCAATTCCACAATTTCTTTATTTGACCAACAGCACAAAAACAATGTAATTAGTTCCAAAGTAATTAGTTACAATTTTGCGATAAGAAAGTAAAAGGTTACTTTTCATTTTTAGACAATTCAATTATAGTTACTTATACCTGGCTTAAATACTGTACATGAAATTAGCTGTTTGATATAAATCAATTCAAATATCAGAGCAATCCATTGGTTCCATGTGAGGTCACACAGTGGTGTGGCTGCCATTTTGTGATGGCAAACTATACTATGCTTTCAGACTGCTGTGGTACTGAAATAGTTGAATTACGTTATAATTAGTGAAGCTCCAATCAGGATTCCTTGTCATGGTGATCGCCGATACAGAGTACCGATTCTAATGCTTCAAGCTTTATAATGCATTATACACACTTTCCCTCTAAATATGATATTTAAGTCGAGATCTCGCCATACCTAAGTGTATAAATTAAGGATGCTGCATATAATCCCTTTAACACGTCTCTTATAACCTTTTAGGTGTGAACGTGTAATGGCCAGAAGCAGCTTTACAGAAAATATTATGAAACAGATATAAAAAATGGTAACAAAGATTACAATCACTCTGTTCGTGTAACAGTAGCTCAAAACATGGTTAATACAATGGTTGCACTTGCAACAAAGAGACCATCACTCACGAAAGTCAATAGACTGTATGAACAGGTCACACCGCATCGATCGATCATGCACCCACATATAATTTACCTCCTCACATGTTGTGGCTGCTGTAGGCTATGTATAATATACAGGTGTACACGTGTGCCTTTCTCTGCTTGTAAACTCCTAAACAAACACCTGTGATCGGTTCATGAGATCGGCCAGATCGGTGAGTACTGATCGAGCCATTAAATGTGATTATCAGCCAATAACGATCTTCGGTTGATTGATCGGGGCATCTATAGTTATGTTGCTTCATGAGCGCCAGTAAAAACTACTTTTCATGTACCCTGATGTAATTGATAACTCACGCTTTACCAACAGGCTATCCAGTAATCATGCTTGTGTTACTCGACTCTCGATAAAATCCTTTGTGGAAACAGCATAAACCGCACCAGTTGACTTTCTTTGAAGAGTCTTTTTATTCTTACACAACAATTGCCAATTAGACATATACAGGAATCATGTGTAAACAGGCTCTTTTTGAAAATAATGGTAAATTCGTTCCGGCAATTTTCTGAAAAAAGAAGTTGTAACAATACCGGTAATTTGCCGGAATGCTGCTCTGTGTGAACACAGAAGAAAAAACTGCCGGAAAGAGAGTTCACGATTAAAATGCGCTGACATGAGACGTCTACTTCAGCCAATCCAAACATTTAGACGCATTCACATCCATGCTGTTTATGAAAATAAAAGCCTTTCAATATTTTTCCAGACACATTTAGCTGCTGGTTGTTAGTCAGGTATCGTTTCTATGTTTCTTCTTAAAGCCAACTGTGTAAAAAAGTATCGATAAAATGCTTATGATAAACCGCTGTTTGTTTACCTTCGAGCTCTGCTTCAGTTGCTTGACGCGTGCTCCAGTGAGTACATGTACAAAGTAGATGTAAACATTACCAATTTTGGAGGGTATTACTAGACTTCATGGTTTAGCAGATCACCAATGTATTGTCTTTAAATACTGACAGGTTTAACTAGGCAGGTTAGGGTAATTAGACAAGTCATTGTTTAACGATGGTTTGCTCTGTAGAATATCAAAAACAAAAAAGGCTTAAAGGGGCTAATAGTTTTGTCCTTAAAATGGTGTTTAAAATATTTAAGACTTCAACTGTTCATTCATTTTCTTGTCAGCTTAGGCCCTTTATTAATCTGGGGTCAGCGGAATGAACCGCCAACTTATCCAGCAAGTTTATCCACAGCGGATGCCCTTCCAGCTGCAACCCATTTCTGGGAAACATCCACACACACACACTCCGGACAATTTAGCCTACCCAATTCACCTGTACCACATGTCTTTGGACTGTGGGGGAAACCAGAGCACTCAGAGGAAACCCACGTGAATGCAGGGAGAACATGCAAACTCCACATAGAAACGCCATCTGAGCCGAGGCTCGAACCAGCGACCTTCTTGCTGTGAGGCAACAGCACTACCTACTGCGCAACTGCTTCGCCAACTTCAACAGTTTATATATAAATATTAATGTACATTATAATTTTTTGAAACAAAAATTTTTTTATATTTGGCCAATAATCGCAAACGTTTAAGAAAAAAAAAATGTTTATAAACTGTAGGTCAATATATATGACATGTATAAAATATGTCTCAATTTATTCATTTATTGTTTAGATTTTAAGCGTTTCTTTTAACAAGACTGAAAGGTTTGTTTGGCTCAAATTTAAAGAATTTAGAATTTAATTTATATTGCCTATAAATTCAGATTTATGTGGATTTTTACATTTTTAATTATCTAAAAGTGTTTTTTAAAGATTTACATTTTTTTTAATTAAATCACTTATTGAGTAACTAAGTTACTTTTTAACAAAGTTAAGAGAAAGAAATGTACAAATGTAATTTGCAAAAATACAATTGTAAGTTATATATATATATTTGTTCATGTATCTTACTCAACACTAACAACAACCTATGTTTATTTCACCATCTGGTAACTGCTGGCATCATCACATTGATTAGATGACACGCTATCATTTACTGCTGTTAAATTTAGCATGAGCCATATCTAGTTCCCGCAACCATTGACTAAAGTAGTGGAGAACCTTTGAAAGTGGTTTGAAACGTTATAGAAGGCTCACAGTTTGGTTGTTCTCTGCTTGGACCAGGTACGGGTTCAGCTGCACTACACTGCACACTGCCTTCATGCTCACTTTCATCAGCAGTTCTTTTTGACTTTTGAAGAGGAGGTCTTGTGTCCTCAAAGTTGAATGAAACAAAAGTAACAGATTAGTAATCAGATCATGTAATGAAGCCAGATTCAGTGACGGCAGATATTTTATCCAATGATGCATGACACCTAACTTACTCTGATAGGGTTCTGGTTGCGGCTTTGATCCACACTTGGATTGACTCCAGAATCAGTGGTCCTTGGTGAATTGTCAGCTATTCCAAAATACAGGAAAATAAAATGTTTACAATTTTAAACAGATAAAGTTCACCCCAAAAATCTACATTACTTTATCATTTATTCAAGTGGTTCAAAAGTACAATGTCTCTCTTGTGTTTTTTTCTTCAAACAAGATTGTTTAAAGGATATTGGAAAAAACAGCCATTAGCTACACTCACCGGTTGCTTTATTAGGTACACCTTACTAATACCAGCTTGGAACCACTTTTGCCTTCAGAACTGTCTTAATCTGTCTTACAGTGTTCAAGATTCTTTTGAAAACCTTGATCTTATGAGGGTTGGAGCAAAACTACAGCTATGCTCTATTGGATTGAGCTCTGGTGACTGTGGAGACCCTCTGAGTTCAGTGAACTAATTGTCTTGTTCAAGAAACCAGTCTGAGATGATTCGTGGTTTATGACATGGCGTGTAATCCTGCTGGAAGTAGCCATCAGAAGATGGGTACACTGTGGTCATAAAGGGATGGACATGGTCAGCAACAATCCTCAGGTAGGCTGTGGCATTGACACGATGCTCAATTGATACTATTGGGCCCAAAGTGTGGCAAGAAAATATCACCACAACATTACACCACCACCAGCATCCTGAACCTTTAATACAAGGCAGGATAAATCATTGATACCATGATGCCAAATTCTGACCCTACCATCCCAGTGTTGCAGCAGAAATTATAAATCATCAGTCCAGGCAATGTTTTTTTCAATCATCTTTTGTCCAATTTTGGTGAGCCTGTGTGAATTGTAGCCTCAGTTTGCTGTTTTTAGTTGACAGTGTGGTCTTCTGCTGCTGTAGCCCATCTGCCTCAAGGTTGGAGGTGTTGTGCATTCAGAGATGCTCTTCTGCAGACCTTGGTTGTATTGACTGGTTATTTGAGTTATTTTTGCCTTTCTATTAGCTGGAACCACTCTGGCCATACTCCTTTGACCTCTGGCATTAACAAGGCATCTGTGCCCACAGAACTGTTGCTTACTGGACATTTTCTCTTTTTCGGACCATTCTCTGTAAACCCTTAGAGATGGTTGTGTGTGAAAATCACAGTAGATCAGCAGTTTCTAAAATACTCAAATCAGCCTGTCTGACACCAACGACCATGCCACGTTCAAAGTCACTTAAATCACCTTTCTTTCCCATTCTGATGCTCAGTTTGAACTGCAGCTGATCGTCTTGACCATGGCAGCGTCCAAAATAACATACTTCCATACTATGGCATACTATGGCGGGTGAGTGTATGTTTCCATCCAAATATACATATTAAGATTTATGAGCAATACTGGAATATCAGATACCAAATTTAAGAATTTTGCACCATTTTACTTCCTGATGAGCTGGTGGCAATTATCAAAAAGATAATTAGGCTTTGCTGTGGTTGGAAGCCTCTGTGGGCCTTTTTCTCTTAACTTGCACCTCGGAAGATGAAGAAGAAATTCAACTAGCGTTTTACACAGTGATGTTTTATGAATGTATTAAAATGTGGTCAGTCCATTAGTTTGTCCATTAATGCGTACCATCTTGCACATTTTTGTCATCATAATAATGTGAAAAATACAAAATCTCATGACTTTTTTTGATGTGCATTTTTTTTTAAGTTTATTCTGTTTTTATGCGCATTGTCACAATTTATGCACATCTTTTCCATTAAACATTTTAACATGTGATTCGTAAATGCATTTGAATAGGCAGATGGAAACAGCTATTGACATCTATAGTAAAAACCAAAAGTCAATGGCTGCTTACATTCTTTAGCATATCCTGCTTCATGTTTAACAGAAAAAAGAAACTCAAACAAGTTTGAACCAAGTCACGAATGGGTAAATTTTAGGAAGCAGCTCTGGACAGGGTACATTCCTCATCTATATGCGCATTTCACTGCCTCATTTAGTGTAAAGTGGTTCACTGAGTACACTGGTTGAAATGTAGGCTCGCACAGATCAATCCTACTAATGATCCGGACAGTGATAAGTGTCTTTCTGGTTTAGGCACTTTAACCCATATGTTCTGGACATGCCCAGCTCTTTCCTCATTTTGGGGTTCAGTATTTCTCTCTCTTTTAGCTATTACTTCTATAGATATAGCACCATCATCTATTATTGGCTTGTTTGGAGTGAAGCCTGATAATTATACATCACCCACTTACTTTTTAAACTTTGTGGCCTTTCTTATTTGCTTGATAGGCGTGTCATTTTATTAAACTGGAAGAGCCCCCAGCCACCTTTGCATGTACGGTGGCTGAAAGACGTTTTGTACTTTGTGAAAGATTAGATTAGATACTCTCTTCAAAGACATAACAGAACATTTGTTAAAATTTGAAAGCCTTTTTTATGTTAAAACTCTCCAGCTGGCACTAGACTGATCACCCTTGCTAGCTCTTGACAATAATAATACATCAGTCTGTAATCTTTCATTACTTAAATTGTAACATTGAGATTGTTGCATAAATGTAGACATCTGACCCTCATTTAGTTGTGTAATTGGGTTTTATTTTATTTTCACTTATTTTTTATTTGTATTATTATTTCTACAAGGATTGTTTGGTATGTTTGCAAAATGTAAAAAAGTTAAATAAATCATAAATAAAAAAATGAGTAAATTTAGTCAGTTTAAAATATATTTGGTGATTTAAAACAATATTCTTGTGAGATAAGTAACAGATGATGGATATAAAGTCACAATACGAGATAAGAAACCACAATTATGATATTTCAATTTAAATTGTGCAAATAACAATAAGTTACAATTCAGAGAACTCACTTAAATCACAGTACTAAAATGAAGTTATGGAAAAAATGTGCATTTATGGGATGTGTCATCATGTCTAGATATAAAAAATCCTAACCTTAACATTCATACTGTACGTCATCATGATTCATTCATTCATTTTCTTTTCGACTTAGTCCCTTTAGTAATCTGGGGTCACCACAGCGGAATGAACCGCCAACTTATCTAGCAAATGTTTTACCCAGCGGATACCCTTCCAGCTCCAACCCATTTCTGGGAAACATCCATGCACATTCACTACGGACAATTTAGCCAACCCAATTCACCTGTACCGCATGTCTTTGGAGTGTGGGGGAAACCGGCTCACCCGGAGGAAACCCACGCGAACGCAAAGAGAACATGCAAACTCCACACAGAAATGCCAACTGACCCAACTAAGGCTTGAACCAGTGACCTTCTTGCTGTGAGGCGACAGCACTACCTACTACACCACTGCGTCACCCATCATGATTCATACTTTTTCATGGCTTTTTCACTTTTTTGTGGCACCGTTTACACTAATAAATTTTAGTTTTAAAATTTAATTTTAAAACCAAAACCATCCACGTTCACACAGGTGTTTCATCTAGCATTTATGAAAAGATCTCCATGCACACTACACTGCTCCATGCACACTACACTTCACATCACGTGACCACACACACACGCTCTGGCATGCGCTGCAACGTATGTGGGCGTCTGAGCTCCAGGCAGTCAGCAGGTGCTTTGAGCACATCTCCCAGGTGAAAGCAGCACAAGTTGGACATTTCAACAGGGATATACCCCCTGATTTCATTTCACTATGGTTGTTAAACTTTATATTTAATTCATCTTGTCTATATCTAATGACTCTTTGGTCTTTTAAATCTATTACTTGTTCTCAAGTAACACATTTTTGCTGAGCACATAGATAAGTTAATAAATTAATTAATGTAACCACTCACACTGATTCTGCACATCTAACTGCTTGCCTTTATTTCTTTTATTGTATAAATTTATTGTACATTATACTTTTATAATAGCCATTCTTTATTATTAAAACTGATATTCAGCGAAAGAGACAGAGTGTGTTTCATATTTTTCAACGAAGATGAAAGGCAGTTTTGTTATAGGCTGTTGTGTTATAAATTTGCATACAGTGAAGATGACGGTCACATAAATATGTAGATAACGAAGCCTCAACATTTTTGGTGTCTGATATTTCATAATATCAAAATGAAAATAGGCAGTTCCTTATATCACGTTTTCATTTTATTGTAAAAATACTGAAACAACGTAGCCATGGTGATGTGAATGACTTCACATCAAATCTTTGAAGATTTACCCGACGTGTGAACATGTATGAACATAAGAAAAGGATCCAAGACTGCCTTTTGTGCACTTAATATTGAGAAAAAGCCAGATAGATAGACGATCTATCTATCAGATCAGATAGAATGACAGCAGCCATGCCTCCGTTTTCAGACATCTGTTTTCTTCCTTCCACACTGGCACGGAGCAGCAATGTTTTAAAACCAAAATGGCATCTTCAAAATGCTGTTTTTAGGGCTCAAAAACGTCAGGGTAATGTGGATGAAAGGCGTAACCGTTTTAAAACTAAAACATGTTAGTGTAAACAGCGCCTCAGTGTGAGTGTTTTGTGTAGGTTGAGGTTTATACCTGTAAAAGTATCGCTTTTAGTCTTTTGCAGATATTTTTCCACCACCATATACATAGATCTGTCAGTGATCATGTCCATTGGAGTCTTCCCTCTGTCACACTTCAATAATGGATCAGCACCGTACTTCAGAAGTAGATCTACAATCTGTAAGTAATATGCATTCAGTATCTATCAGTCTGTGTATTCCATATGCATGTTTTTTATAATATTAATGCACTATGCGCAATATACCCACTTTGTAATACTGATACTGTATGGCTTCAAGTAAAGGTGTAACTCCATCATCTCCTTTGCAGTTGGCTTGTGCTCCAGCTTTAAGTAAAACCTCTGTTATGTCATAGTTGTTTCTGTTCACTGCTTCATGAAGTGGAGTCCAACCTGAAAATGAACAGACCTACAATGTCAACAATGCCATCAGGTGGACGTATGAGCTAACTTCAACCCTTTATCTTTAATAACGGTGGCAAATGAGCTCATGTTTTATGATTGATACAGTTTTAGGAAAGTTTTACCTGCATAATCCGCTACATTGATGGAAGCACCAACTGAGATCATGTCTCGGACGTCCTGAAGGTCTTCTTGCATTACAGCTAAATGCAGTTTTGTCTCTCCAAATTTATTCCGTCTGTTGATGGAATTTCGTAACAGGGCTTTCCCTGTCTTTCGGTTTATAATGCCTTCACCATGAAAAAATAAGAAACAGATTTTTGTCTATCTGGAGCAGGGGTGTCCTGTAGATTTTAGCTCCAACTTGCCTCAACGCACCTGCATGGATGGAAAGCCTAGAAAAGTTGCGGTCACACTGGACTTTCATCCCCGTCGACTTCCATTCATATGCACACGAATGCGTCAGACCGGAATCGCTCGCTTTTTTACATGTCTAATCATCTTGTTTAATCCCGCCCCTTTTTGCAGCTCTATACTACAGAATTTCGCAAGCTTAAACTCTAGTGTGACCGCAGCTTAGAGCTTCATTTGCTGGTTCAGGTGTGTGATTGGGGTTGGAATCAAACTTTGCAAGACACCGGCACTCCAGCACAGGACTGATCTAAAGCAGGGGTGCCTGGACTTAGTCCTGGAGAGCCGGTGCAGGTCAATATTTTTGGCAGTTGGTTCAACATTGTGTAATTATTATTAAATCCTAATTTCATATTTTCCTATCATTGACAAATTAATAATCAAACTTAAAAAAAATAACATTTTTGTCAATGTTGTTAATGAAATTATTACTTAAATTAAGCAAGTTACTTACTTTTTTCCTATTTAATTATTTGTTGAAATTAAAAATGATTTGCTTATTCCAGAGATTTTTTTAATGATGTTAGATAAAAGCCTAATTAAAACAGGCCAATAAACAGATAGCACTGTGTAATATAAATTTAAAAAGGCATATCCAAATTCTACAAATCTAATAGGTGTTCAGTTGTAAAATGTTTGCTTATTCAATATCTGTAAATCAAAAAACAAAAAAGAATTATATCTTACTGTCATTATGAGTATAAAATAAATTCCATTCTGCCAGTGCTATTCCTTCAGACAACCATGTTTGGAGGAAATCATTCAAATCATATTTGGATGGCAGCTGGTAGAGGTTTTAAATCATGTGGTTTAAAAAAAGATTTGAAAGTAATGAGTAACTATGTTTGTATTAAACAACTTGACAATACTTTAACTTGATAATACTTTTATATGTTGCTGCACAACATAAAGCTGCAATTTATAAAACATATTTCAAATAAGTAACTAGGAATAAGGGTGGCGCAGGGGGTAGCACAATGGCCTCACAGCAAGAAAGGCACTGGTTCCAGTCCCGGCTGGGCCAGTTGGCATTTCTTTGCGGTTTATTTTGTGGAACAAAAAGTTATTCAAGTCAAGTTATTTAGTCAAGTTAAGTTCTGTGTTGAGTTTCTTTGCAAACTGTGGAAATGTGTGCAATACTACTGTCAAGTTATACATTTAAACACAGGCTCATTGGAAAAACATGCTTCAGCCTACATTTTTTTTCACAGTAATGATTACAGGGACATATTATTGAAAAAAAATGGTGCAGTTTCTCCCACAACACCAAATAAATGCCACAAAGCAACTTAACAGTGTCTATGATTTGTGATTGAATATGGTTGCGTCACCTGTCTTTTTCCATATGGACAAATTTTCTGCCGTCATTAGTTGGCTCAGTAACTGAAATTGTACAGTGTTGTACAAAAAATGCTAGGGTTCGAGTTCTGTAAAGCATGATTCCATGAAAGAGTTAAAAGCTATTTACTCACTAACTATCCTTCAGTTTATTTTTGTGTCAGAACAATGTGCGGGACCCACTCAATTTAAACACTGCTCACAAGGGTACATGAATGAACACAAGAAATTTGCTCAGGATGAAACAAGGCTATGAAGTTTAAATCGTGTGATCAGATTTGCATACTTGCCTTGACTAAAGTTGGGTTTAGTCTGTTTAGCACGTGTAGGTAAAGCTGTACTCAGTGCTTTAGTATCTGGATTCTTCTTTTTAGAAGGCAGTGACCTGTAAATATTACATCCACAGTAAATGTACAAAAATAACCGTCTGTTTGCACTGTACAGGGCAGCTGAAAATAAATCAATACAACACAGTAGAGAGGAATTAAATAGTCTGAGGTGATTCTAAGAAAATTATTTTTATTATGTTTTATTATTTTTTTGTCCCAAATTATTTCAAGTAGGTTTAAGGCTGGTACAAACTAAAAGGTTGAACAGATTTTTTGTTCCAATGTGCAGGCTGGACAAGATGACACTTGTTGACAGAAGTCTGAGTTTTCTGAGAATTCTGGCAGTCAGAGTTGACAGATTTCACAGAAAATCGAGAAATGTACGATGAACAAAGACTCTGATTTTCTAGCTTCAGACTATGATTTCATCTAGTTGGAAAATATTAAACATAATTTGATATTTTGAGCTGATTTTATTTCACATCTTGTTTTTTTGCTATTTATTTCCTAGCAACAAGCCAATGAGATTCATGACTTCAACCACTTATCCTTCATCCAAATATTTTATACACCGACAATGTTGAAAATATTTAATGTTTTGAGCTGATTCATAACACATATAGTTTTCCTATATATGAGGCCAAGATATGTTATCCAGCTGGAAATTACTAAGTGTTTTTTTTTTATTTTAGGTTGATTTTATTAAATTTGTTTGTTTTTACTTGCCATTTTTTTCCTGTGTTTCTGTGTATTTCTTTTTGTCAGTGCTTTATCAGGTTTTTTTAGGTTTAAATATGTTATGTGTATTTTATACAATATATTTTTTGAAAACTTAACTTGTTAAAACTTTGATTAAGAAGTTTAAATATAGCATTTTGGTGACATTTTATGAAATATTATGAATATTTTATGAATCATGTGCATGCTATTTGCCGCAACAAAAATAATGACTGTTTTGTCAAGTTGCTTACTATGGTCATGTGCAATTTTGTCAGTCCAAACACACATTACAAGTTATTTTTTCATTTTTATGGAGACTTCCCCTAGAGGTAGACAAATGGCGATATTCAATAATGCAATATGTTGTGATAATAAATATGCACAATATTCATAACAATTATTTTAACTTTAAGATTTATATCCGATCAAAATAAAGCGAATGAAGTGACCAGATGTAAAGAGCCTCAAAAACACGGATGTGACGAGATTATTACCTTTTTTAGTTAAGTAACAGCTAATGGCTGAGGACTCCCCTTTGTATTAAAGCCTTCATTAAAGTTGTTTTCAAAAATGAGGCCGATTAGTCTAGAACCTCATGGTAGTGACAGATTCTCATCTGTTAGGAAGTAATGTTAGCCTTACCCTGTTTTTGAATATATGTTCAATATCTTGACAATGACGCTGATGCCTGCTTTCTCTTCCCTTTCTCTTGTTTCGTACCATAGCATTACTCCGTATGGATGAAGATCAAAGATTCAAACATTAACGTTCAGTGGGTTATGTCATGTGACTCGCATCATATTATTGTACTTTGAGGCTCCATGGGATTCAAATTACTGGCCATAGATATTTAAAATGACACTTTATATATGTATATATATTTATTTATTTGTTTATTTAATTTTAATTCATAAAATAATTAAACGAACAAATTCTGGACCTTTTGTTCATGGGGGTTGGGTTGTTAGAACCACGCGAACCCCCCCTGGCTACAGGCATCTTTGGGGTGCATGTATATGCAGTTCATGAATTTTTATTTTATTTGATATTTTCAGTATTAAATAAGATTTATAATATGGTTTTAGACCTTTTTGTATTGTTTAGCAATCAAGAATAATATCTGAAAACTGCTAATATCTATTAATTCCATATAGCATATTTAAAACTGACCTGCGCTGAGTATTCTGTTGTGGTGGACTCTTCATTTTGTCCAACAGATCAGTTCTGACAATTTTTCTTGTTGAATGTCTCAAAACAGGCCCAGGTTGCCGTTGAGGAGCATCTAGCGAGACCGTGTCCTGTATGGGATTGGGCCTGACCACTAGAGGGCAGAATTTACATAAGAAAAAGATCTAAAGCCTAAACTGCTTACTGAATATCCATGAAATAGGGTGAATCAGGTGCAAAGCTGACATTTAAAAAACTATGGCTTGTTAACAACATTTGCAAGGCACAGAAGTTCTCTTGTGTACCTTTTTTTTAATGTAAAGCTTTATTTTTGTAGTTTCTGTGTATCATACAGCTGGGTTACCTTCGCTGTGTAATATGTGATCTCGTCCTGGAGAATTTTGCTCTTGAGTAAGTACAGCTTGATCTCTGATAAACACAGAAGAAAACTAATTATTTTAGGAAATTACGACTTTGATGAATTCATGTTTAATTAAAAAATACAAACAAAAAAGGTGACCTTTTTAAAAAAAGGTGACAGACCTTAAAGTATTTGCTTGTGAATGCATTGTGCCATGCGTCTGCACATTATAAAACAAAATAATAATTAAAAACACATAGGTACAGTAAAATTGAAATCTGATTATGGCCATAGCATGTGCAGTCTAGTGTAATTTACCTGTTCCGCTGTGGAAGTCTTTCTGCTCTGTCCAGTACAACACTGCAATTCAATCTGAGGAGAAATATCTGTCAAACAAAGGGACAATTTCAGCTCTAAATGTACAGTAAACACTTTTGCAACAAGTTTTACTTGGTAAGACAATTGTATTACCCATAGACTGTAGTATGCCTGTCACAATAATCAATATATCGCAACACATGAACATGAGCTCAATCAATTTTGGTAATGCAAAATAAAAACTAATTCTAGCGACTATTTAACTGATTTTGCACTGAGGTGTCAGAGTCAGTATGGTTAAAAAACACTATTGTATTTACTATAAATTACTTTAGTATATTATATTTTTATGTGGATGTCTGATAACTAAAAATAGCATAAATACTTTTTTACCTTGCACTTTTTAAAATGTATTATTATTAATTTAGGATATGAGTTTTCACATTCTGATTCCAATGCCTAATTATTAAATTGTTAAAATTACTCTAAATAAAAATCCCTTAAAATAAAATATGATGTGTTCTTTGAAAGAATGCACTTGCATTGTGATGCTTATATATTGTCATTCTGGCATTATAAAGAGAGTGGCATAATGTTGTCTTAAAATGACAATAATATAGTTTATCGTAATATGGTGCAATTTATCATACAACAAAAAATAGATATTGTGATAGGCCTAGACTGGACATGCAATAAATATTGTTTTAACTAGCAAAATAAATATTAAATATAAAATAAATAAATTGTTCTGCATTGCAATATGCACAATCACGT